GTTTGGTGCATGAAGTTCTGTTCGCATTTGGCTTTCCTTGGACGTCTCACCTGAAACAAATTTGCGCGTGAGAACTCTGGGTAATATGGTATATCTAGACTACATGCCTCATAACGTCCCAAAATCAACTTTAAAAGCAACAGCAAGTTGTTTAGCTGAACATACATTGCCAAAGGAAGAATCCCTAATACTTTCAAATTTTCTTTGTCTGAGAACCTATTAACGCAAATCCATTTTACTGCTCTTCGCTGAATCGTCTCTAATTCGGACATCACGTACTTATTTAAACCAAAACACGGACTTCCGTAAGGAATCACGGGGATTATCATGGACTTGAACAAATTCAGTTTCGCTTCATTGTTTAAATTCGATATGTTTCCTTTGATCGAGAAAAAAGTTTTATTTGCTTTTAAGCCTGCTTTGTCAATGTGTAGATTTCAGCTCATGTCATTTGAAACTTTAACCCCTAGATCTTTCTGAGTGTCCACTAATCGAATTTCCGTATTGTTGCGTATTGTTTGAACTTTTAGTAAAACTCACGTGGGTGCATTTATCAACATTGAATGGCATATTATTTTGAACTGTGCAGTTGTATATCACATTAAGTTCATTTTGAATTTCTTCTTTAGCTAATCCTAGGCTTATGTATTTTGCATCATCGGCGAAAAGTAAAGGTGTGACATTTTGGCAAAGAGAAGGCAAGTCATTGATACAAATTAGGAAAAACAATGGCCCCAGGATGCCTTGGTGCACTCCGCTTGTTACGGGCTTTGGATCTGAGATTTCGTTATTCACTTTGACAGATTGGGACCTGTTTGATAGATAAGATTTCATTAATTTGATCAAATTTCTTCCTACTCCGTTTTTGAAAAGCTTCATCAAGAGGATGCCGTGGTCAACCCGGTCGAACGCTTTACTAAAGTCCGTGAAAATGATCTCCATATCACTCGCTTTTGTCGACTTTTGTAGGCTATCTGTATGAAAGTTAATAGCTGTATGACCGTGGATTTATTCTTCCGAAACCCATGTTGTGAACTATGAACCATAGATGTTTCATAGAAACTATGATAGATGTTCGTATAATCTCTTAAATATTATATGCTCTAGTATTTTTGAAATTATACAAAGGAGGGAGACGGGTCTATATTTTTCAATGTCACTTTCATTGTCTTTTTATGAATTGGGCTGATTTTAGCTGCTTTCCAGTAGTCTGGAAAACGCCTAGTTTGAATAATTTTAAAAAATTTTTGATAGATAGAATGAGATAGAGATTCTTGTGTTTTAATGAACAGCACAGGCGGTAAATCGTCGGGGCCTTTATTTTTATTCGTGTTCAACGATTGTCATATTTCACGTATCTCGAGCTCAGTAAAACTAATTGTATCAAGGACTGTATTGGAATTAGGTTCGGGTGGTTCTGAAAACGTACGCGATTCAATGTACACAAAAACGAAAAAATTCGAAAATAGTTCTGCCTTTAATGGATCGGTATCGGCGGTCTCATTTTTGTACTTAAGTAAACTTGGTGAGCTTGACTTATGAAAAGCTTTAAAGTATTTAAATAGTTTTCTTGTTGATCGCTCTGATTCAAGAGACTGTTCATAATCGGCTTTGTCCATTTCGGCGTTCGTTTCTGTCTGTTCAATTTAGTGCAAAACTTTTGGTTGAGACTAGGTATCTTTCTTTCGAGCTGTATGTAAACGTTTAATGAAATTCGAAGTCGATTGACTTATCCATGGCGGCAAGGATGATCTATGTTTAGTGTGCTTTGGAATACACTTTTTAATAAGCGAGGATAACCAGTTATACCAATGATTTATTATCACATTTACATTTAACCAACAGTAAGAGTCAAAAAGGTTTTCTAGTATTTGCTCAGTGAATAAACCGTAATCACCGTTGCAATAACTAAATATGGATTCTTTAATAAATTTGCGACGTTTAAGATCCGATAACTCTACGTTGAAAGAGATCTCGACCGGATAAAGGTTAGAAAGTTTTCCCAATTTATGGTTACTGTCTAAGGTATGAACATCTGTTACATGGATTTTATTGCTGGTGAAGATCAAAACGAGAGTACCAGTTGAGGCAGTATTAAACTTAACATTTTGATGAACTTCAAGATTTTCTATTTCTTCCAAAAATGATATTTTGGTTTCTTTAATTGATGAGATGTTGCACCAATTTTCTGAGGGGTAATTGAAGTCACCATAAATAAACAAATCTCAGTTCTTCCGCAATTTATTTATGTCTTTAAACATGTTATTTATTTCACTTGGTTTCAGAGCATATTTGCTATTTGCAGGCGGTAGATAACAAGAGACAACAAGCAATTTCCGTTTATCTAGCTTGAGGTAGCATGCTACTACCGCTCCGTTGGTATTATAACTAAAATTTGCAGGTTCTGACATTAAGCCGAACTTTACGCCAAATAATGTTCCACCGTGAGATGTTGATTGCAGCGAAGATCTTCTGTTTGATAGAAAACAGTTAAAATTTCCAAGAAAAGTCTCGGATTCGCGGATTTCATTTGTAAGCCATTTTTCAGACAGGCTAATAATATCAAAGTTCTTTAAAATCATACTGTTCGAAAAAGTTTGTCTTCTTTCTCGTTTGAATAAACTTCTCACATTGTAACATAATTCTCTTAATTCTCCGGTTTTGTTTGGTAGTCATTTAGTGCAATTTACTGCTTGGTTTTTCAGGTATAATATGTTATTTCTAATTTTTATATCCTTTGCTTCGGTTCCGCTTTCGAGTAATTCGCGTCTTTTCTTTTACAAGTTTCGTTCCCTTTCTTGGTCCCCTTTATTTAAGGATTTTGATAGAAAAAATGAATATTTGTTTTTCTTGATGTTTGGTTCGTAATTTTTCAACATGGTTGCACGCGCAAATAATCTATCTGTCGTAATAACATTTCGAAACTTCACCAAAATTTTTCTGGGTCTTTTATTAGTTGCGTTAAATTTTCCGAATCTGCGGAAAGAGGAAATTTCCTCTGCATTTGCACCAAGAAATTTCATTGTATCGCATATCATTTTTTCATCGTGCTCAAAAATATTCGATTTATCAATTTTGCCGTGAATATCCATGCTTATTTCCGGCATACCACTAAATCGCAATTCTTGAGATATATCGGAACTAGATTTAACGACACTAGAATACTTAGCTTCCAGTTGGGGACGAGAAGGATTTCACGGAGGCCGAGATTTTATGATCTCCAGTGTCTCTTTGATGTCCTCAATGCCTTTTGACAGCTCGCCCACATCCACAGTAGATTTTGGACGAATATCAGCACTTAGGCACCCATTGCACAGAAACTTTACATTTGCGGTCCTCTCCAGAAATTTGAATATATCATGAGAGTATCCCATACACAAGCTACCGTCCACTTTTCGTTCCTCCCCACTGACTTCGAACACATGGTGCAACACTCTTGACTTTTAGAGGTCAATCTTGACCTCGTCGTAGCACCAGACATTTAATATGAAAAAGACTCTATTTAAAAAGTTTGGAATATGCTGACGATTTCGATTTTATAACAACGAGTCAAGAACAACAATCTAAAATAACCTCAGAAATTGGGAGCATACTAGCGGATCACAACCTGATAATGAATCCTGACAAAACAGAACTCACATGTGTCAAACGCGGGCCAAGAAATGAAGAACACTGGAGAAGAGTCAAGAAATTAGGATCACTACTAGGTGACGAAGAAGACATCGTTCAGAGAAAGAATCTCGCAACTGCAGCTTTAGCGAAACTACAACATCTCTGGAGACAATCAAATAAAATCAGGCTGACGAGACGATTGCAAATATTCAATTCGCTAGTCAAGTCAATACTTCTCTATAACAGCGAGACATGGGGCCTAACCAAGACCAGGCAAAATCAGCTAAACGGCTTTCATCGACAGCAACTAAGAAGAGTCCTAAACACTAAATTCCCAGACCAATTACCGAACGTCTCTGTGTATGCCAGGTGTGAGACTGAACTGTTGTCACTCCAGATTGGAAAGGAGGTGGCGACTGTTTGGACATATACTAAGGCTGCCAGAAGACACGCAAAATCAATAAACTAACAAACTTTCACGACCTACTCAAACTTAGAGACATTGCATCCTGTCGAGCCCGCTGGCGAAACATAGTCCTCTGCATTTACACGGCAGCCAAGGCTGAAGCTTGATATTCTTCAGGCCAAAGCGAAAGGCTATTCCAGTCATCTGAAATGGATCAAAGGTCCACTGTCTAGTAAAAAGAAACTGTATACGTAGGTTCCGACCCTGTTTTTAAAGGCGTTCGTGTGTTTTAGGTATTTTTGGAGACCTAAGCATGGGGGCGTTCTTATTTCTAGAGTGGGGGGGGGTATTTTGGTAGTAGTATTTAAGCTGTAACGCTGTTTGTAGTCTCATGTCGCAAGTGAACCGAATTGGCTCCGACCGTTCGAGGTAGAAAAACACAAGAGATAGTGTCCCTGACTCTTGAGCCAATGGTTATAGGGCCTTTTTTTCTTAAACCTCATATGTGACTTAAGTAGGCGACTGTTACAGAAATTGGTCGTACAGATTGATGGTCGCTTTCCTTCCACGTTGTTCGCACATACACGCAATATGTGATTCGATCCTCGATGTGGTCGCACAACACGCGAACGAATGACGGTACAGCAAATCGGACGATAGCGGTTGATTAGATGAAGGGAGTGTCAATTAGCACTCCTCGAATCGATCATGTTATCTGGAACTATTTGATAAGTTTATCACATTTTATTTCTTTATTCGAAGACCATTGAAATAATTTATGCGTAATTCACTAATTTTCTACGAGTTCGTCTAAATGTATCATCAACGGAGAAGTTTTTCTTCTTCTGAACTTGTGGTCCGGACATTCTGTGCTCAACAACCGGCTAGCTTTGTTTTATGTTTGATATTTACAGAACTTTTGAAAATAACGTTTTACCAACATGTACGGCAGTAAATCCACATCAACAATAACATTTTGAGTTTATATTTGTTTTATTTTCTTATATATTTTTTTAATATTTAGCAGTTTTTTTAGTAGGCGATGAACTAATAAGCTTGCTAAATAGTTATGGATCTTGCTTTCATGAAAACAAGATCAGTTATAAGATGTCGGCTCTGCACTCATATAAAACTGTTACGTCTGTGCTCCGGTCCCACGAATGAAGACGTTAAGCTAAACGATATTTCGCGGTATGAGCCTTCTTTGTCCGCAAAGTTCACACAAGAAGATATCCAATCAATTGTTAATTTCGGCCGTGGAAATCATTTAGGAAATTTGAAAGTACCCGCTGTTGCCTTGCCACCAGTCATCGTAGACGCCGTAAATGATTTGCTGTATGCACAGAAAGGATTGTTTAAAGTAATAAAAAGAGATGCTGCTACGTTGGATGCCTACCTGAAATCCCGCACAGCTCCTTATCTTAATCCTAGTCAAACTAAGTTCAACAAAAATCAGTGGAAAGCTAAAATGATGGCCAGATTAGAGGCACTGGACGCCGATTTAACGCCTGGACAACAACAAATGTACGCCGAGGAGATCGAAACAGAAGGTGAAAGGAGAAGAATTGAGTTGAAGCAGATGTCAGGCTTCTGGAAGTCAATCAGCTATGACTCACACAATGCGTGTCTGGCGTATACTCTTTGCCGAGCGGCACCAAATTACGCAGTTGCCATCCGAATCCTCAGTGAGATCGCTCGAAGGGATCCTAGTTTTAGCCCAGAAGCTGTGCTAGATTTTGGCTCAGGCTGTGGGTCTTTAGTTTGGTCCCTGTTAGCCATGTGGCCTCAAGAAACCAAGTTTTTCTATTTGAATGACGTATCAAACGAGTTCAATAACGTGGCTTCATCGATTCTGAGTGGTGACGACGTGGATTTCAACCCTATTGCTAATGGAATTTACTTCAAACAGCATCTACCAGCAGACGTAAGACCGAATTTTGATCTGGTATTCTGTGGTTACACTCTATCGGAGTTAAATGGTCCTGGAAGTCGATTAGCAGCTATTAAACATATGCTTAAATGCACAAAGAGTTACATTGTGTTTGTCGAAAATGGAACTCTGAGGTCTCATCACTTAATGGAGGAAGTGAGAGAATACGTTGCATCCAACTTCGCAGATCAGTTTGAAATTTTCGCTCCTTGCCCACATCTGAAACCGTGCCCTCTCCTACTGACAAATCTGAAGCAGCAACGTAAATCTTTGATATGTCGAACTTCAGTGACCTATTTGCCTTTTCCGGTTCGGAACCATACAAAACCTAATGCAAGTTCAGAACAGTTCACGTACCTTGTTTTTAGAAGAAAACCGTCCGATGATCTTGTTTCGCAGAAAGAGGATGACGCTGAGATGCGTTGGCCCCGAGTTGTTCAACCTCCGAGAATTGGTACAGGTCACGTGACGTTGAGGCTATGTAGCTCAGATGGGACAGCCAGTCAGTCTATCGTGAGCAAAGGGAAATATCCGAGTTTTTTCTATTTAATGTGCAAGAAAATTAATCTTGGGGACAGGCTGCCTCTACCTAGTTTGGAAGCATTTGAAATAGAATCGGAATCAGTTTCCTCTGTTGATGATGAAGTTGAGGGAAATAATGATGGAGGTGCAGAATAAAATTAGATGTTTTTTTGTTAAAATTTTCTACGATGTGTTGTTTTCTCTAAGATCATAAGTTGTTGGGATAAGATTGTTAGTTGTTGGGATAGTTTCTTTTGCAAACGATCCTGAAAAAAAATGTTTGTGTTTTTTCTAGAAAATTCGGACCTTTTTTATGAATTTTGGCGAAATGGCGAAAACTGGTTGGCATCATATTCCAAAAAACGTATATATACAAAATTAGCTCTTCCAATTCTTCTGGGTTTCCTGTCGTAAAAACGTTCCAATTTTTATAACTCTTGTGATAAGCAAGGGTTTTGCAAGAAAGTACTACACTTTGTTCATGGGATGACTGAAATCAGTCATCTACAGTCTTAGCTATGGTATTTTTTTTGGCCTCTAAATGTATGTTTTATATACTTTTAAAATATTTGAATATGGAGTTTTTTCCCCACATTATCCATTTTTCAATTTACTTTTCCATCTACGTTTGTGTATAAGCGTCAAATAATTTGTTCTTTAATTTTGCTCTGAGTTATAGGGAAGGAAAGAATGTAACCCTTATGCACAAGTGCTCCTGATCGGCTTGCAGTTGATTCCAAGATTTTTTGTGAAGTTTCTTTGGAAATTTTTGAATTAGGCTTTTTGAACAAAATTTCATTTTTTTTCGCGTATTAGTTCTATCTCTTAGTTAACAGAAAGCTATAAAGTTGTTTGATGATAGGCAGTTTTTTTTCTAATGGTTTAGGTAATTGTTTTCAACCAGAATTGCTAAACTTTTAATTGATTCTTCTGAATTCCAACAAAGTTGCATTGATTTTTTTCCTTTAATTTTTCTCAGATAAAAAAGCGATGAAAGGAGATTCTATTATGATTAACCAAAATATTGATTTTTGAATAAGCATTGCAAAAGAAATCCAACAAACTCTTATCTTAACTAATTCGCCCGAGCTGAAATAGTTTTAGAGCTTATGCATAAGTGATTTTTTTGGGCAAGCAAATTGGCGAAGTACTATTCTAAATATTAAATTGGACGAGTTCTACAAGTTCATTTTTAAAGATCGAATGAATGCGCTGCAAAAGCTGCAGAATGACGATCTTATCAGTGTTGCTTCTCTTGAGTTACTCGCGGATCCTTTGAAGGACGACGAGCTAGACAACTTTGATGAATCTCAATTCAACATTCCAGAGTTCAAATCTGAATTTCCGACCCTTGACGATGTCTTGGCGGAGAATTTTGATTTTTCGCCGACCGCAAGTCCTTCGAATTCTAAACTAGGCCTCAACCATAAAAAGTTTGGTTCCCTGGCATCCTTTGGCTCGTACGATTCCCTGCAATCAACGTCTCTCCGAAGTGATGCTTCACAGTTTTCGATTGTAAAACGCATAAAACTCAAAGGAGTTTCTGCCAATATTGTATCGGCGCATAAAAGAAATGCTGGGTTTCCATCGGCAATTGCAACCAATAGTATAATAGCAATTGGGACTACTTTCGGTTACCTCCTTTTGTTCGACCGGAAACAGCTTCTTCGTTTCTTTTTACAACCCCCTGAAGATTCTGGGGGTATCTCTGCTTTGAGTTTTAATGTCGATGCCTCCCGGATCCTTGCAGGACATGAACGTGGAACCATTAATATGTGGGATACAGATACAGGGAAGGTGTTGCGAACTTTCAGTTACATGACAAACGCACCAGTGCTGCATATTAAATTCACAGATGATCCAACGAAAGCTTTGATGTGCAATGCTCAAGGGGCTGTTTTGTTGATGAATTTCAGGAGGCCCCTTGGTCTTCGAGTTTGTGACTTCCACGAAGTCTTCTCGGGCTCTGAAGTCGTATGTTTGGAACCTTTAATCATTTCGAACAATGTCTCCGACCATCCTCTGAACATCTATAATCCGTTTGTTATCGCACTTGCAACTTTAAGAAAATTTATTATCATAGTTTTAAGGCCGAAACTGGCGAAAGTGTTCTCTTATGTTCTCGAGGGACATCATTCAACGTTACCTGTTATTTCATGGCAGTTTATTAAATTACAAGTTAATCAGTCCAGTGTTTCGTTTGACCCGGTCGCTTTATTTGGGCGCGATTCCCAAATAGTGTTCGCTTTACTGGAAACCTCCACTACTGGTGCTACGGGAGTAAGGGTGCTGAAGACCCTAAGCTTAGGCTATAGTTTGACTAACCTCATCTGGTTTAATAACAAAACAATTGCAGTTTCCGATCAGAAAGAAAATTTACACCTGATTGATATTCAAAGTGAGGAAATTCTGGAAACATTGGATCTGCAGGCGGTTCAGATCGTGTACGCAACATCCGCTTTCAAAGGATTAGCCAATGAACATAAAAATAAGCCATCCTTAGTTGCTGCAAGTGCTTTTGCATGTTATTACTCTCTCACAATGACCGCAAGGCAGCTTCTGATTTTGGGCCAGCAGTCGGTGCACGTTTTTGTGATTCGAACTTGGTTTGAAAGAATAAACTCCTTGAAGAAGTCAAAACTGTACACCGAAGCTCTCATGCTTTCAAGAGAGGTTTTTCAAGGAACTTGTAAAGCGGTCGTCGGGAGTCTAGGACCACAAAAGTCTTTTCTCCTACAGAATAGTCGCAGTTTGTTGAATGAAATCGCGTCGAGTGCCGTCGCTTCAGCTCCACAACAAGGCTCAGTCGACGCTTTAGAGGCCTATTACTCAGATACGATTCCATTAATAATTGAAACGTGCTGTTTGTTCAAGATTTTCGAGTTCACCAACGAAGTGTACAATATTTTCGAAGCAGATATAACTGCCCGATCTGTGTTTCTCTCCTCAATGCAATCTTGCATTCTCTCAGATCGCATTTCGAAAGTCTCGCCGACAATTTTGAAAGATCTGATAAACCTAAATATAGACATGGAAACTATAAGCTCGATTCAGGATATAATTTTGAAGCTCGATATATCAACGATAGATATCGACCAAGTTGTTAAACTTTCCTGGCAAAATAAACTTTTCGATGCAATAATTTACCTGTACAACCGAGCAATTAAAAACTACTCAATGCCCCTCGAAGAGTTAACGGAGTTTTTGAGATCGAAAGATGGCGATAATAGAGAATTAGTTAATACAATACTAGTGTACTTGTCATGCTGCATGACAGGCCGAGATTACATGCACGGAAGCATTCCAGAACCGCTTTGCAGAAATGCAAAAATTCAGTCATGGAAATTTTTACTATTCGATCAGCCAAACGCAACACCAGTCGAAAGGTTTCCTAACTCGAAGCTGCTTTTGCTCTCAGATACGAGGGAGTTTTTGAACGTTTTGTCTATAGCCTTCGGAGAAAGTGAGTTTACCACAACTGAAGGTCAACGTGTAAGGCAGAGAATCATAGATATGATAATGCTGTTAGTTGATCTGAATGAAAAGGAGTTCACGTCTTTACAATTGGGAAGCATTTACGTGTTTCTAGCTCGTGAGTTGATGAAATCTAGTCTGAATTTGGAACCCGAAGTGTTCTCGCAAATTGTGAATTACCTAACTTCAACTAAACAAGAGCTGAAATCGACTAAAATTGAGAGAGAAAGGGTCGTTACTGAGTTGCTTATAAATGGTGTGCTATCAATAGATGATCAAAATTTGGAAGAGAAATTACTGACGGCTAATTTTTACTCGGTGTTGGAGTTCATGTACGAGAAAAGAGGCGAGTACTACAAGATGCTGAGATGTTTTTGTCAGATGAGCGAGAGGAGTAGAATGATTTTTCGCTTCATCAGAAGCGTGTTGTACCAGTTGGATCACGTGACTGATGAGCAGAAACAGCTGTTGATCAGTGAGATTAATCAAAACATATCGCTGCTCATACAGATTGACCCAGCTAAATCTGCCAACCTCCTATTAGTTGGTAAGATGCTCAGCTAACGAATCATTCGTTACTTAAAGAGAATCTTTCTATTTTTTTTTTGAAAACTGAGACCCAGAATCATCCTAATTTTTTTTTTAAATTGAGTCCTGAAACTGGCATTAGGCGCTTACTGTGTGCCTTTGAATGTGTTCAGTCAATTGCAACATAGGCAATGAACTGGAATGAATACAAAGGCGTTTTCTCAAAAACTTTCCCACGAACCGTCCTCCGTGTTCAGATAGTTGCAAAATGATAGCTGAAAGTGATGGCTTTTATTAGTGATTGCATCTTCATTACTTTTTAATTTGAAAATAGTGCAATGCAAACAAGGATAGCCGGTTGCCGGGATCTACTTGACAATTGCCCCCTCCCCCCTTAAGAAAGGGGGGGGGGGCAATTGTTAAGTAGATTAAAATAACGCATTTTTGACCAATCAGAATGCAGCAAAATTCCAATTCTCAATAGAAAGCTCAGTGCTAATTAACTGCTTTTATTAATAGGGTTGACAATTCTTAAGTAGATACCAAAGGGGGGCAATTGTTAAGTAGATCTGGTTGCCTTACTGAATAATAATAAACTAAAAAAAACTCTTTCTTATTTTTAAAATTGTGTTTTTGTCCGTGGTGTGATGAGAGGCTCTGAACGAATGCTTAAATACTCGATAGCTATGGTAAAGTAGGCATGTTTGACTACAGTTTTTAAATAAAATGTAAAATCTAAAAACGAACCCAAAAGTTTCAAGTTTTGTGCAAGTCAGTTTTTTTAATTGTTTCAAATTTTTGTTCACAAGAAGGCGCTAATAAAAACTAGAAGGTGCTAACTGAATTAAAAAAGAATTTTCACGGTTTCAATAAAAGCTTATCCTCGTATTACAAGACTGCTCGCTCGCTTTATTCGCTCGAAATTGATTAAAAATCAATAAATTCAACCCGTTTTTCTCCAAACTGAGAAAATTTTTAATATCTTTCGAGTTGCGACTGTAAGGCCTTTAATGTGATATTCCGTTCCATTCCGAGGATTATTTGCGGTACCTGACTTATTTGCTTTACCTAGAAAATTGAAACACATCCGAAGGCAAAGTTCCTCTCCCCTTTCAGTGGTCAAAACAGTAATCGAATAGGTTCAATTTTGGTTTCTTCCGGTGAAAGTAAACAGTTTTAAATGAACAAGTTTAATATCATGCTGTTGTGTTTTTAGAGTTGAAGCTTCCGGTTGAGAGAGTGACTCGCCAATTGTCTGCTGATCACGAGGCGCAAGTGGTGTTCCAGTTCCTGTCTGGAGTGGTGGAACTGATCTCAAGGGATAAAATATCCATACATTCCATCGAACAGCAGCAATCTGCTGAAGGTAAGAAGTGGATTCATCTGCTTCATAATAGTCTCCGTAGAATATATGCATATGTACCGACCCTAGGCAGAGCATGAACGTTTGGTTGCAAAATATCAACAAGGGTTTTATATTTTTTTTCCTTTAAGTTGGTGTCTTTTCTCGTACGTCTTGTGATGATAGAACTATACAAACGCGTATAAATTTATGGAATTAGGCGTAAACGACTACAATTGTCTTCCAAAATTACATAAATGAAAAAAGTTTCAGAAGTTCTTAGCGTTACATGATACTTCTAAATTAGTTTTTCCGTAGTAGAACTAAGTTTATCACTAGTTAAATCAATACTTATAGTCTAATTTTGAGCAAGCTGATTAAAACTCAAAAACTTCAATCCGTTTCTTTTTCTCAATTATGGGGGAAAAAATTTAATGCCGTTCGAATCACGACTGGAAGAGCTTTAATATGACATATCAATCAACCAAGTCCGATTATTATTTGTGGTACCTGATTTTGCGTGGAAAAAAAAAAGAAAACAAAACTAAAACACCTCCGGATTCAAAGTTCCTCCCAGTTTTCAATGGTCGGAACAATCAAATAGAATTCTCTGAAAAGAGTAAAGCTAATTATACGCCGATCTCAGTGTTATTTCCTTAATTACCGATTTACACAAACAATCTGCAATTTCAGTATGATTTCAGTATTTCAAAGGATCCAGTACAAAGGCATGTCAGAAAAGTTGTGATCGAACTTGATGTAATTGAAATTTAGGCCTGAATAACTCTGACAGCAGTGATGCTCTTCCGTCCTCTTCCAGTGGGAGTGAGTGGGTGCGGGGAGTGGTGCAGCAGTACATGAAGTTAGCAGCTGTGCTGCAGGTGGAGTCCCTGGAGACATTCATCAGACAGAGTCCGGCTCTCACTCTCTCCTCCAAGAGCATAGAGGACGCCATGCACATTTGCCAGGGGTGAGTAGCAGGTCTAAACGTTCTAATGCTATTCGGATTGTGGAAGAAGGCTTTTAAAGTATCTCAATTGAAAGGTCATTGGGTCGAGAACCTCATGATTTGTGCTCCTTGCATGTAATTCATAACCAGGGACACAATAGGGACACTCTCTAATAAGCCGAACAGCTCGTTGATTGGTTCTTTCACTCATCAATAAATCATCTCAAATGAAAGAATTATTATTGATGAGTTAGAAAAGGTGAGAATTGAAGATACGAAACAATTTTTCAGCTCGCGTTTTTTACGCAAAAAGTCTTAAAATTTGATCACGCTCAAATTTGACCCCTCGAGGTTTGGCTTTTCGAGGTTTGATTCATATTCGTTCTCTAGAAGGAAGACCAATTTCAATCTCCATTTACGAAAACCCCTTCTATAGCAAAACATAGCCCCCTTCCACAAAAGTCACAGTGAGAGGGCTATAATTTTTTTTACTAGGCTGGTCGCTTGTTATGACTTATCAAACTCGAGTTACAAAGTAAGCAAATTGAAAAAACAATTTCTGTAGAAAGAAGACTAGAAAAACGAAAAAAAAAATGTAAGTCTGCTCGCTCGCTTTTTTTGCTCGAATTAAGACGATAAATCAAAAATTTCAAACCGGTTTTTCTCGACACTGGGAAATTTTCTTGAAATTTTTAATGTCATTCAAATCACGACTGTAAGGGCTTTAAATGGTATATCACTCATCTCTCTCCGATGATTATTTGTGGCAGCTGATTTTTCGTGGGGAAAAAAACGACTACACACCCGAATACAAAGTTCCTCCCAATTTTTCAAATGGTCATAACAGAAGTATAAAACACGCGAATCCAAAGTTCCTCCAAGTTTAATTGGTCGGAACATTAATACCATGTTTACATAATCAGAGCTTGTGTTATAGTGTAAACTCTCTTTTTTTACCAACCTAAGTAGCAAATATTGTTGCGATGCAATTGCTGCGACAAAATGAGTTCATTTTGAAAGTGTTCATTTTGATCCGGCTATTAAGTACAACCAATGCTAAGGATATTAACACAGACTATTGTATTACAATTAGCACTTAAGCTTCGAGGTATCATGGATTTGTAGCGTAGAGGTAGGGAAGGAGACCAGCAACAAAATAAGAGGGTTCGAACCTGGGCAGGGTCGGATGTTTTTAATGAACTTTTTCGTATAGTAGTTAAAATGCGTCCGCTCTATAAATTGAGGCATGTTACTTGGTAAATTTCTTTTTTTTTAATTCACTGCTAATGCGTCATAATTGGCCTGTGTCACTTAGCAGTTATGTAGACTCTTAATTGGCGTGCGTCACTTAAGAAATTTTGTAGCCTCAAAGTTTTACTCATTCAGTTTTCCCCAGTTGCGTTATCGGTCATAATTTTGCTTGTGTATAAGAAGTGCAAGTTCGCCTCTGTGTGATTATTATCCTATTTTTGTTCCGACCATTGAAGTTTGGAAGGAACTTTGTAGTCGGATGTGTTTTAATTTTTTTCTTTCCGACGCAAAATCAGGTGCATTAAAGAAACATCGGACAGGGTTGAGTGATATATCATAACAAAGCCCTTTCAGTCGTGATCCGAACAATTTATGAAATTTTTCAAAAAAAACTCAGTGTTGAGAAAAACCGGTTTAAAATTTTTGGTGTTTCGTGTAATTTCGACCAAATAAAGTGGTGATAAATTGGTCATTTCGGCTAAAAACTTGTTTTTTCCCAAACGGAAGCTTGTTTTGAAAGCTATATTTGGCACTTCCCTGGCACGAAAACTGTCTCTTAAAAATATATTCGCTTTGGTATTTGTTATTTTGTTATTCTTTTTTGAAGACAACTGTTGTCGGCTATACCTAATTTATTAGCTTTCAACGCGTGTGTATGGTTTTTTCATCACACCACGCATAAAAAACGACACTAATTTGAAGATATTAATAATTTGAAGAACTTTTATTTGTAGTTTTCATGAATATGGTCGGAACATTATGTGAGCTTGACATGTAAGCATCGAGATTTTGAATTGTCACCTGCCGAGCGTCTGCTGATTCAATTTGGTATCTTGCATTTGAAGAACTTTGTTTAGGTATAACCTGGGTCACTTGGTGTCCTACTTGCACGTGCGAGCAGGCAACCATCTTCAGGCAATGAAGACATTTGTGTACTACGTAGATAAACTCATATCCTCATTCCTCAAATACGGTAAGCACCACCCAGATCTATTTCGACAATTATGAATATTGACAAAGTTTCTTTTGCATTGTTTTTGAAGAAAAAAAATTAAGTCAGCGTACTTAGTCGATATACACTGATTAGTCAGTAGCTTTGGTAGCAGAAATAAGAACCTTATCCAATCTGAGCCTAACCATAACATTGATTTTCAAGCTGAATCTTGCGTGAACTAATTTTTGTACTTTCATGGCAGATTCGGAAAGTGACTTGGGAGGTAACGGAGACGGGTTTCAGTCCACTTCTGAGCCATTGACATTCGAGAAAGTGAAACACATGGTGGAGAAATGCGCCAAATTGCTACGAGAGATGATAGCCACTTACCATGTGGAGGAGAAACATGTACAGGACTCATGGTTCTCTTTACTAGATACGGTGGTAAGTCAAGCTTAAAAAAATGGTTTCATCATTGTAATTAGTTGAGTGAAAGTCTACCTCGCTTGCCTGATTAGGCGATGTATCGAAGCGTAAGGCGACAAATTGCACAAAAAATGCAACTTGAGCAGAAAGTTCATTTTCTTAGTGCAGCAGCAGCTCCCTCAAAAAGAAAGCATAGAATCACGAACCTTATGATTTTTTTCTTTTCTAATGCCAGTTTTATCACAACAAATATTTCTAACTGTCTTAGTGGTTACTTTCTCGCAAATCAATTTTTATATTTTTTAGTAGTGAAGTTGGATATTTTAGGTGACGCCTGTGAAGTGTAAGGAGAGTGAGTGGGCGGACAGTTTCAAGCACCTGCTGTTCTCCCTTCTGAACAGCATGATCGGATACATCTCTCTGCCCAACATACTCACCAAAGTATTCGCAGACACAGCTTACGAGTCAGTATCTTATTAGTATTTAATAAGGTTCTTTACGTTTAATCAAATCGGATCTACTAACCACCTCCTTCGTCATTGCAAAAAAATACCGAGTTAGAGAAGGTTTGATCTTTGAGTTGAGTTGTTGATTTTAGCGACTAGTCTTCCTGCGAGTCTCATCCTGCAACTATTTAGTTAACCAGAAACACCAGTTAGTTAAAATTATTAAATATTGAGCTGGAAAATGGTCTGTAAAATAGTTAAAACCGTATGAGTTTAGTGATTTTTTTCGTTAGCATTTTTCATCAGCATCACGTGGGTTAAGGTTCACTCAAATGGGGGTACAATTTGTTTCAAATTTGCGGTTTTTCCGATTTCGTCCCACTCATTCTAATATATTTAAATCAAAACGCGATCATTTTGCATTAATACGTCTGCAATTTTGGTGCGGTTTCAGCTCTGGAACCTACGATGATGTTCGCCACTTAGTCACAGGGATGTTTGAGACATGCAGATACGAATCAACTCTTCTGACGATCACCAGTCAACTTCTCGACCAGGACATTTTCTCGAACTTTCTCGCTCTGAAAGTATCAGCCACCAAGGGCACAAGACCTATCTCCATGTCCTGTGCAATATGCTACAAGAAGTTACGTAATACTGTTACGTCATCAGCTCAGACGAATGTAGACTCCTTGAGGTAAGTCGAATGATTCAATAATGCAACATCTGATGGTGTGGAAAGTTCTTTTGTTTAACAATTATCCATAACAGTTATCCTGCGGAGTGAGTTAGAGTGATTCATCCAGAGATTTTTGCATGTTCTTATCACAGAGGTGGATCCTCGCACGTGCTTCAAAAAATTTTTCTTGTTTTAAAATTCATGTTAATGATGAAAGTCCCCTCAAAATTGCTCACTATTTGTGGCGTGTATTCGCGCCTGTTTAAATTTAACGTTGAAAAGTTATCTAACCTGACGTAATTAAAACTGTTCGAGCTTCAAAACTCTTTTGACGTATTTGCGGTTTCAATTTTTTTTCCAAACCAAATTACTTTGAAATATTACACATTGCCATAGTAAGGTAATTTGGTTTGAAACAATCGAAGCTGAAAACACGGCAAAAACCCGTCTTGTTTTCAAAAAGCTAAAGTTTTGAAGCTCGAAGTTTTTTATCATATCATTTCATTTCAAGGTCATCTAGTGGCGCCAACAGTGGCAGTCTGGCAGTGTTTCAATGTGGGCATGGGTACCACGTGGATTGTCTGAGCAGGTCAGAATCCTGGGAAGAAGTGATTACGGAGGTTTCAGGGTTGCCGGAAACTACAATTAGAAATATTTGTTTAATTTGCAAATCCAGGAAGGATCCCAACTTCGAAAGTCGACAAAGTGTGAATCCCAATGTAGGAAGAGGTAGGTACCTTCTTCGTTTTCGTTTCTTTTCTGGCAAATGTTAATAAAATAATAACTTTAAACGTCAAGAGGTTTTCCATTGCGATTGCGCACATTGCATGATTTTCGCGTATCGTTTTTGAGTGTGAGAGAACGGGGTTCAAATTCAAACCAATTCATTTGACGAACGTGATTGGCGAAACTGTGGGTGACGGTAAAATTACAGGACGCAGATTTGATTCCACGAGTTGTGTTTTTTTATTTTGAAGGATGTTTACTGTTTCAAATCAACTCTCCAGGCTTTCTAAGTCAGTTTTTTTTTGGATAATTTTACTGGCTAATGCGAAGCGCAGATTCTTTTGCTTTTCTGGCTAATGAACGTCGACATTAATTGCCTCTTCATTTTGCTGAGATGTCTGTTGTCAAACAAAATCATCGCCAATGTTTCTTGTTGAATAATAGTTCATCTCGCGCCACACGCATAACAAGCACAAATATGAGAAAAGAAACAAAAAACTATTTTGTACTTACTTTTCAAAAGTAACGGTCGCAAAACCTGCATAGCAACCGTAAATTCTTGATTACACTAGCGTGCAGCTAGTGTATTAGCAGGGGCGGATTTTCTCGAGGGGGGATTTTCAAAAACGTTTCGAAAATTTTTATTATCTTTTTTTCCTAGGTCGACCAAATTGATTTTCCGAGCTTTTAAATTCAAAAGTTTTCCTTTAATAACACTTGTGAAGAGTAGTGTGATGCTACGAAGCAAATTTTTTTCGAACCCAAATCGCAGCTAAGAGTGATCGTTTGTTGGGACTTTTGGTATATTTCCAAGAAATGGCAATTTAAAAGCATTTGTAGCTGCTTTATTGATATCTAACTAATTGTTGGTAAATTTGGAGATTCGAGGACAAAAATTTAGGAAAATAAGCCGACAGAATTAAAGGCGACGTCCAACAAGCTGAAAATCGGCCAAAATTTTTTTGGCTAAATTTTATAGGAAAGTAAAATGTATGTACTGCACAAATAGGATCCTCCAGTGATATATATGTAGTGTACGGAAGGTAGTATAAATGATTTGGAAACGAGACCCACTGAGCTTAATTCGAGAACCATGAAGCCGAAAAATCATAGGTAAAAAATAATGTGGAAATTCTATAATGGAACATAGCGAGGTTAGGATTCTGGATATAGCGTTTAGTAGTTAATAGTAGCCAGTAGCTAAATTTGAATTTTTGAGAAATTGAGCATATCAGCAAAATAGTAGCATCACATATGATCGAGTGATTTTGTTAAACAAGTTTTTAACCCGAAAAAAGTATGTGTTCCGATTTATAACGGTTGCTAATCGCAAGCGTGAAAATGAAAGCCGGAAGTTTTATTTTCGTGTTGGGAGAGCAAAAGCTTGTTATTAAAATGTTTTTTAAATTATCTATATTTATTTTATAGGTGTTTCTGCATCGTTTTACTCAGATGACGGCAGCGGATTTGGGACAACGGGAACTCTATCGAGGCAAAAGTCACTCAATTCTGCGGAGAAAGAAATGGAAGATCATGTTGCAAGAGCTCATTCTTGCATGTACAGATCAAAAAGAATTCTTGATGCGACATCCAATCAAAATTCAGTTCAAAGTTCTTCCTCTTTAGTCGGTCGCTTCAGGACTGCAAACAGCTTCGCGTATAGTAGTTACTCATACAGTTCTTCTTCTAGCGCTCTGGATTCATCTCTTAAACTTAGCTTGAAACCGAAAATTGTCCCGAATAAAAACATTTTTGATTCCAACGACTAGTATGTAAGAAAATTAATTAAATTTATAGTTTATTATTTTTGCAATGATTCCTAAATGATGTATCTATGGTTGTTTTTATTTCACTTAAATTGCTGTATAATTGATTTAAATTTAAAGTTAAGAAAGTTGGATTGTGGTATCTGAAGCCGAGTCAGATTAAGCTTTGATTCTTCGTTAGCTTTAAACTCCAGCGACTTGAAGATTTATATCTTCAAGTACATATTTAGTTCATACTATAACACAAGCATTGCTTGTGTAAACATCAAAAATCATTTGAAATAGACTGTCATATAACAATTTTCAGAAAAAATCAAAGGGGGGAACTGGAAAAGAGTCGTGTACTAGTTACCTCAAGACCAAGTATGCCGTAAAATCAGACATTTCAACTCATTCTCAACCAAGATACCAACTGACGCAAGTGGTTTTGTTAAACAAGTTTTTCACCCGAAAAAAAGTCTGTATTCAAAGTTGATAACGCTCGCTTGCAAGTTAGATCCGGCCATTCAGCTAATACTGTCTCTACCCTTTATCTGTTTTCTCTCACTTTTCTAAACGCGTATCATATTGCCTTCAGCGAAATAGTCCTGGACAACGCAGAATTTGAATGTTCTATACTTTCAGTTCTTTATTCGCATAATTTTTGCTCCCATAAATCAGAATTGTGAGAAATTATGACGCACGGGGTTTCAAAGCGAATTCAGGTTCCTCAGTTCAGCCTTTTCTTTTGTAGAGTGTAGTTTTATATGAAGGCCCTTTGCACTGTTGATTTAGATATGCTAATCAAAAATAACTGTCTTCGCAAAATTTGGTGCTTTTTGCTCAGCAAAAGAGCACGCTATTTATTTGTTTGGTAGTTCGTTTAGATATGATCAAATAACATCTTACGCTACGGAGATTCCCACATTGCTGTTCAACCAGCGCATAATATTTTGACTAAAATCATAGTGACTTTTTACAGCTTTTCACTTAACACAAATTCCATTGATTCTTACTTATTTCTTCAGACTGTCGCAACTAAATAATTAAAATATGCACATAAAACTTTTAGGCAAAATTATTAGCCATTTATAGAGTTTTTTCAACAGTCACACCCTTGCATCACAATACGAAAAAAACCTTGGCAAATTAGTCGACAGAAATTGAACTACCAATATTTGCTCATGTTTCGCTATGCTTTGAAAAAACAACAACATGCCAAGACCAAACAACAACATGCGTTCAGTTTGAAAAAAAAACAACATGCCAAGACCTTAAGGTATGAAGTACGAATCGGAAAAAACTTACAGAGCGGCAACAAAGCCGACAAGTCCTCACTCGATTTTTTTTTGCAAATCAAACTTATCGCTTAGAAGGCTTGGAAACAGGAGAAATTTGCGTTTCAGGGCCTGCAATCCACACATCTGTTCCCAGGACTTCCCCCATGGAATAATTAAAAAACTGAAATCATGACAAACCAGAGCTGGTAAGTTTACAACCAACTAAAAAGTAAATTTTGAAAGGGCGCCTAAGAAGAATGCTCATGATTGATAGGGGATGACATTTTAAGGTAGACAGAACCTCATAAGTCAGTGTCCATGAAAAACTTATTTTCAAAAATTATTAGTTGTGCAAGTTTGTACAAATTTATGCTAAACGACACTTAACTCAATTTAAACAACATTATGCTCAATGATGGAATGTAATTTATTTGCAACCGAAATTCAACAAACTTCCAATATTAGATTTTATTGTCAATAAAATTACTAAATTGTTCGGTTGAAGTCATTTTTTCGCCCCCAAAACATGTACTTTATTAGCAAAGCTTGGTAAAAATTAATGCAAATAGCCCAGAACAATTCAGGCGGGTAAAATTATACAAGACTCCGAGTAATGGAAGTACAAAAAAACGATCTGATTAATACAGCACCATTAAAATCATACAGCATTTAGCAAAAAAATTCCAATTACAAAATATGTTTATTTACTTGAAGTAATGATAACACGATGAATCAGTTCAGAAACCAAAATCAATTCTCAGTTGAAGACAGTTGTTAATTCATATTTATTTTAGGCCTGCTCACTTTTCAATTTCAGGTCAATCGCGACCCAATCAGCTGAAATAGGGCTCATGTACTGTTTCATACTCAGGAAAGTGTCGATCGCCCTCTGCCGAGAACTCTCGTTTTCATAGAGCGACACGTACACAGGTCGGAGGAACTTCATTCGCCCGCATGTTTTCACCAGTTCCAGTGCCGGTTCGATGGAGGAATCGATCCCACTTTTGAGGCCCATTCTAAAACATAGGAGGTTACCAGAAAAGCATATTGTTGTGCTATTACAACAGAAAGTTCCGATCACAGATGCAATTTTAGAAATGATAATTTTGAACCAAGCAAAATTTAGCGAAATTTAGAGGCATCGACTGCAACCGTTTGAATTTAATTGGCTCTTAAAAATACCAAATATCTCTTCATATAGCAACTCAAAAAAAAGATTTCAAATTATTAAGAACTTCTATGATATGAAAAGAAACTATTTCCCAGTAATTTAGTTGAAACGGTCGCACCTGAAAGGTTTGCTTAAATTTCTGCTGTAAAAAGTTTATCAATTGCGCATGATTTGTGCCGCAAAATTTTACCGAAAAAAAAGTATCTGAGAAATTTCGTAGCAACTTCTCATTTTTGTTACATGTAAACTTCGTTATAACTAGTCTGCCGCACACCTACTTCGAGCATTACCTTTTTCAATTTTAAAGCTGAACCACTTCAGATATATATGGTAATTTATACTAAGCTATCGACAGACACGACACGCCTTCACTTCGTTAGAGCAATTTTCATGTGCAAAAAAAAAGAGTTCACTTTCATCAAGAAATTTTCCGGAAATCCTCGAAAAAAAAACGTTTAACTTGATAACCGGTATAACTGAAGTGCAATAGCGATTTTAAATTTATATTTAAACGAACTAGTTCTCAAAACAAATATTCTCTTAGAACCACTAATCTAACTGGTGTTTCTTTAACAGGCGCATTAGAATACCTTATCCAAGGGGTCCGCAGTTCAATGTTATTCGTGTCTCTCAGTTCAAATTGTCCAGTCAATTTTTCAAACTTGTCCTCCGGCCAAATCAATTCATGTTCTCTCAAAGTGCCCAAAATTGCAATTTTCAAGTCCTGACTCCACGTTTTCAGGTCCGGATATTCGGCAACCATTCTATCGTAATCTTCAGCAGTGGAGGCTTCTATCCATTTTTGAACAACTTTTTTGCATTTATTAGTCAACGGATTATCCAAATCAATTGATACAACACTTTTTCCAGGACTTGTAAAAATCTGGTCCCAGGGTTGTGCTTTTAAGATGTCAGCTTTAGCTGGAAAGTACTTTATAAGATGCTCCAGCCACGCTTTGGTCCTGATTGGTGTATCTTTGAAAGTCTCCACGTAGTTTTTGATATATGGTGCAAAAGCTTCGGGTCCGCCGACTAAACTTTCAACATAGGTTAGCAGCATGCATCCTTTTTCATAAGGCACTGTTGAGAAAGCATCTTCTGGGTCGCGATTGGTCAAATTTGGAACCAATGCTGTCAATTCTGGTTTCTGCAACCTTTCAAACTCTTCGAGACTATCGTTCAGGTGTTTTTGCTCCTTGTTCAACAGAAACTTGCGATATGTTTCATCTTTTTCCATCACCGCTTTTATTTTATCCTCAATGAATCTGGTCCAGCCTTCGTTCAGCCAGAAGTGCTCCCATGAGACGGTTGTTACCAGATTGCCAGTCCACGAATGAGTAATTTCATGTGCCAAAACTGACACCATAGATCTATCTCCTGTCAGTAAAGTAGGCGACAAAAAGGTCATATTAGGATTCTCCATTCCTCCATAAGGAAAAGTCATAGGCAGCACCAGGAAATCATATCTCGTCCACTGATATGGCCCGCAAATACTTTCCGCAATTTGCAGGATACTCTCGACATCGGCAAATTCATAAGCACATTTATCAAGAATTTCTGGTTCAGTCCATACAGCGCATCGGTGCCTGCAAAACAAAAGGAATTTTCTAAAACTGGAAATCTCAAGAATATTCGCCTCTAAGAAGCTTCTTAAATTTAGTCCATTGATCGAATATTCATAGATAGATTACAAGTTACTTTTGACACTTATTGCCGCGGTAAAGCATTGTCATCAGAGATACTTGAATCACGCCACCAAAAACCCTACCATAAGGCTTCTATTTTATTAACAATTATCTATAGTGCATGACAATACCCTTTTCCTAGTATCGAAATATGACCACTCACCCGAAATCATGCTTGACTAGATTTCCCACAGCTATGGCAAAGAGATATGCAGGAATGGGTTGCTTCTGGGAGAACTTGTAGCACATTTTGTTTTCTCCAGTCGCAGTTCCTTCTCCGTCGATGATGGCCGACATCACCACTGCCAGCCCTGCAAATCAGCTTCGTATTCAACTTTTTAAGAAGTTCCAAATGCAAGAAATCACTCACCAAAGAGCTTGGAAAATGGTTAAACAAAAAGGGAAAACAACTTAGCTTCAAATTTTTGAACTCTTCGGTACAAAACTTTTCAAATTATTAGAAACTTTATTTTAGGACCCTTACTCTTTGATCTGCGTGTTCATTTCTGGTCACAATTTATCAACACTAAATCTAATTGATCAACTTTGGGGCCAAGAATTACACCACTATCGGATGAAATAGACAGTAAAACCATTCATAGGTTATATCGTAACGTCACGCATTTAGCCATAATTACATGTAAAAACAAATCTGAAAATAAAAACTTGAAAATAAGAAATGTGAGAAGGGTTACATGTCAGTATTTAGACAACCTCGTATTCAGACTGGTCAGTATTTAGACAAATGCTGTTTCAACCAATCAGAATCGAGACAAAGAAGAAATTAATAAATAATTATTATTTATTTTGGATTATTTATGTTTTTTTCTCGATTCTGATTGGTTCATACAGTATTTGTCTAAATACTGACCAGTATGAATACGCGGCTGTCTAAATACTGGCTGCACTCCTGTGAGAAGAAAGTGGTAAAGAGCCAAATCCGGCTACAAATAAATGCAATTTTTAACCAAAAAAAAACAAATTTCAAATCCACACTGTTAAGCATTGGGCAAAAGCATGGTTGAAATATTCTTATTTCCACGGACTTCGTTGACCCTTCTTAATGAAGTATTTCTAAATTTGTACCAGTAAGTAATTATTTTTAAACTTAATACAACATCAAATTTAATCTAACCTTTCTCCAGAGTGACATTGGCAGTGTATGGGAACTTGACTCCCGGTGTGTCCTGACAGGGAAATAGGGATCGGCAGAATCTAGACTGACACTGAGTGTACAAATACGGCTTCTCTTTCCCACTCGTTTCCTCCTTCTCCATCCACTGCAGAGCAATTACGTCAGCTGTCGTCTCAGAGACTAAATACAGGCAATGTATAAGAATAAATGGCAGATTTAGAATCACTTTCGTAATTTCATTTAAGAAGAGAAATTTTGAAACCTTTCCAGTATGCATGTATTACAGCTTATAATATAAGTGGGTCCTATCAACGTTACAAAGTAGCGAGGGACAGAAAGTGCTATCAGGATTCAATATATTTTACGAAAAAGTGAATTCAAATTATAACGCTTACCGTCATTCAATGGCATTTGAAAAATATGAGTTGCCTATTGAAAAATCCTAAGAGCGATAGTTACTATATGATACATATACATCACCTATTTTCACAAGCAACTCTTGGTCCACTTTAAGAGGTCCGACTTTACTTAGATCGATGCACAGCGCTTGACCCACACTCGTTTCAGTTTGAAGCTCGAAAGCAGCCTCAACATACTCGTCGGAAGATTCTGGCACTTTTATGTGGACGGTTCTGGTATTCAACTTTTCCGTGTCAAGGAGCAATTTGGGTTCAACTTGTTTCACAGTAAACTTGGTTTCAGTCGATATTTTCAAGACTTTAGAATCAAAACATACTTCAATGTCCAAATGGAGACTTCGAATATTAAAAGCAGAGTAGTTTGAAAAGGTGTTCGGGTCAGGTTTGTCATCCATGGTTAAAATAATTTGAAGTTAAAATCTGAAACAAACAATGATGAGTTTTAGCCACATTCCAAATTATGACTCAGATTTAACAAAATGGTATTGAACATTTTTGTAGCGTAGACGTTTCAGGCTCATTAATTTTTGCAAAAAATATTATAAAAACTAGCCAAAAATTAATCTATTAATAAAGAAACTGATTTCTGAGATAACTAGTAAAGCTAGAACTAACGTAATCTGACCGCGAAGTATTGATATTTAATCGGTGTTGAGAGAAGCACAAAACAATCCGTCACATGGACCTCGCTGTTACACTCCCAAGACTACGAAGGAGAAAAACAATAATAAAATTATCAGAAAAAAAATAATAAACATCGAAGATACTTAATAAATCACATGAAATTCAATGCTAAACAGACAATTAAGTCTCAAATAAGATCCCTTTCAGCAAAGATTAGGATTGCATCAAATTACCTGGTCTGCATTTTGCAGCTTTTCCGACCAATTTATCGCAAGAGGACAATAATCCTTTCCCGTATTATGAAATCACGCTATATATTAATTAAGTTAATTTAACAGTAATTTTGCTTTTATTGGCAAATTCGTAAGGACTTTGAGTCTGCTAGGGAAATTATACGACCAACTGACTTGCCTCAATTTAATTTGGAATGGTTATTTGAGCACTTCAATTAAGTCAAGTTTACGCGGTGAGCATCATCGTAGGTGGGAAAAACAGCGCAGAATGCAAGTAATTAAAGCTCAAAACTTTTCGAAAAATAATAATTAATATTCTAACGCAATAAGGTAGGTCCCTTTAAAACTTGCGATACATGAACAGTAAAAAACTGCGCTTGTAAAATCGGTTACGAAACAACAAAGAAATAACAAAACAATTGAAAGAACTACAACAAAAACTATCCAGCGTTTTATCGATCTTGCAAAAACAACAAGCGGAAGTTTGTAGGAAACAAAATACTAGGTAGGTACAGACGCCGACAGAACTTGAACAAAATTTCCGACTCTTCCTGACGCAAGTGGTTTTGTTAAACAAGTTTTTCACCCGAAAAAAGTCTGTATTCAAAGTTGATAACGCTCGCTTGAAGTTAGATCCGGCCATTCAGCTAATACTGTCTCTACCCTTTATCTGTTTTCTCTCACTTTTCTAAACGCGTATCATATTGCCTTCAGCGAAATAGTCCTGGACAACGCAAAATTTGAATGTTCTATACTTTCAGTTCTTTATTCGCATAATTTTTGCTCCTATAAATCAGAATTGGGAGAAATTATGACGAACGGGGTTTCAAAGCGAATTCAGGTTCCTTAGTTCAGCCTTTTCTTTTGTAGAGTGTAGTTTTATATGAGTAAAAAATGCAATTTAGTCAACAGAAATTGAACTACCAATATTTGCTCATGTTTCGCTATGCTTTGAAAAAACAACAACAAGCGTTCAGTTTGAAAAAATAACATGCCAAGACCATAAGGTATGAAGTACGAATCGGAAAAAACTTACAGAGCGGCAACAAAGCCGACAAGTCCTCACTCGATTTTTTTTGCAAATCAAACTTATCGCTTAAAAGATAGAGAAGGCTTGGAAACAGGAGAAATTTGCGTTTCAGGGCCTGCAATGCACACATCTGTTCCCAGGACTTCCCCCATGGAATAATTTAAAAACTGAAATCATGACAAACCAGAGCTGGTAAGTTTACAACCAACTAAAAAGTAAATTTTGAAAGGGCGCCTAAGACGCATACATGCTCATAATTGATAGGGGATGTCATTTTAAGGTAGACAGAACCTCATAAGAAAATGTCATTGAAAAACTTGTTTTCAAAAATTATTAGTGCAAGTTTGTACAAATTTATGCTAAACGACACTTAACTCAATTTAAACAACATTCGGCTCAATGATGGAATGTAATTTATTTGCAAGCGAAATTCAACAAACTTCCAATATTAGATTTTATTGTCAATAAAATTACTAAATTGTTCGGTTGAAGTCATTTTTTTGCCCCCAAAACACGTACTTTATTAGCAAAGCTTGGTAAAAATTAATGCAAATAGCCCAGAACAATTCAGGCGGGTAAAATTATACAAGACTCCAAGTAATGGAAGTACAAAAAAAACGATCTGATTAATACAGCACCATTAAAATCATATAGCATTTAGCAAAAAAATTCCAATTACAAAATATGTTTATTTACTTGAAGTAATGATAACACGATGAATCAGTTCAGAAACCGAAATCAATTCTCAGTTGAAGACAGTTGTTAATTCGTATTTATTTTAGGCCTGCTCACTTTTCAATTTCAGGTCAATCGCGACCCAATCAGCTGAAATAGGGCTCATGTACTGTTTCATACTCACGAAAGTGTCGATCGCCCTCTGCCGAGAACTCTCGTTTTCATAGAGCGACACGTACACAGGTCGGAGGAACTTCATTCGCCCGCATGTTTTCACCAGTTCCAGTGCCGGTTCGATGGAGGAATCGATCCCACTTTTGAGGCCCATTCTAAAATGTAGGAGGTTACCAGAAAAGCATATTGTTGTGCTATTACAACAGAAAGTTCCGATCACAGATGCAATTTTAGAAATGATAAGTTTGAACCAAGCAAAATTTAGCGGAATATAGAGACATAGACTGCAACGGTTTGAATTTAATTGGCTCTTAAAAATACCAAATATCTCTTATATAGCAACTCAAAAAATAAAGATTTCAAATTATTAAGAACTTCTATGATATGAAAAGAAACCATTTCCCGGTAATTTAGTTGAAACGGTCGCACCTGAAAGGTCTGCCTAAATTTCTGCAGTAAAAAGTTTATCAATTGCGCATGATTTGTGCCGCAAAATTTTACCGAAAAAAAAGTATCTGAGAAATTTCGCTGCAACTTGTCATTTTTGTTACATGTAAACTTCGTTATAACTAGTCTGCCGCACACCTACTTCGAGCATTACCTTTTCTTTCAATTGTAAAGCTGAACCACTTCAGATATATATGCTAATTTATACTAAGCTATCGACAGACACGACACGCCTTCACTTCGTTAAAGCAATTTTCATGTGCAAAAAAAGAGTTCACGTTCATCAAGAAATTTTCCGGAAATCCTCGAAAAAAACGTATAACTTGATAACCGGTATAACTGAAGTGCAATAGCGATTTTAAATTTATATTTAAACGAACTAGTTCTTCTAAAAACAAATATTCTCTTAGAACCACTAATCTAACTGGTGTTTCTTTAACAGGCGCATTAGAATACCTTATCCAAGGGGTCCGCAGTTCAATGTTATTCGTGTCTCTCAGTTCAAATTGTCCAGTCAATTTTTCAAACTTGTCCTCCGGCCAAATCAATTCATGTTCTCTCAAAGTGCCCAAAATTGAAATTTTCAAGTCCTGACTCCACTTTTTCAGGTCCGGATATTCGGCAACGATTCTATCGTAATCTTCAGCAGTGGAGGCTTCTATCCATTTTTGAACAACTCCTTTGCATTTATTAGTCAACGGATTATGCAAATCAATTGATACAACACTTTTTCCAGGTCTTGTAAAAATCTTGTCCCAGGGTTGTGCTTTTAAGATGTCAGCTTTAGCTGGAAAGTACTTTATAAGATGCTCCAGCCACGCTTTGTCCTGATTGGTGTATCTTTGAAAGTCTCCTCGTAGTTTTTGATATATGGCGCAAAAGCTTCAGGTCCGCCGACTAAACTTTCAACAGCATCCTTTTTCATAAGGCACTGTTGAGAAAGCATCTTCTGGGTCGCGATTGGTCAAATTTGGAACCAATGCTGTCAATTCTGGTTTCTGCAACCTTTCAAACTCTTCGAGACTATCGTTCAGGTGTTTTTGCTCCTTGTTCAACAGAAACTTGCGATATGTTTCATCTTTTTCCATCACCGCTTTTATTTTATCCTCAATGAATCTGGTCCAGCCTTCGTTCAGCCAGAAGTGCTCCCATGAGACGGTTGTTACCAGATTGCCAATCCACGAATGAGTAATTTCATGTGCCAAAACAGACACCCTAGATCTATCTCCTGTCAAGTAAAGTAGGCGACAAAAAGGTCATATTAGGATTCTCCATTCCTCCATAAGGAAAAGTCATAGGCAGCACCAGGAAATCATATCTCGTCCACTGATATGGCCCTTAAATACTTTCCGCAATTTGCAGGATACTCTCGACATCGGCAAATTCATAAGCACATCTATCAAGAATTCCTGGTTCAGTCCATACAGCGCATCGGTTCCTGCAAAACAAAAAGAATTTTCTAAAAATGGAAATCTCAAGCATATTCGCCTCTAAGAAGCTTCCATTGATCGAATTTAGTCCATTGATCGAATATTCATAGATAGATTACAGCCTAAGTTACTTTTAACACTTATTGCCGCGGTAAAGCATTGTCATCAGAGATACTTGAATCACGCCACCAAAAACCCTACCATAAGGCTTCTATTGCATGACAATACCCTTTTCCTAGTATCGAAATATGACCACTCACCCGAAATCATGCTTGACTAGATTTCCCACAGCTATGGCAAAGAGATATGCAGGAATGGGTTGCTTCGGGGGAGAACTTGTAGCACATTTTGTTTTCTCCAGTCGCAGTTCCTTCTCCGTCGATGATGGCCGACATCACCACTGCCAGCCCTGCAAATCAGCTTCGTGTTCAACTTTTTAAGAAGTTCCAAATGCAAGAAATCACTCACCAAAGAGCTTGGAAAATGGTTAAACAAAAAGTGAAAACATCGTAGCTTCAAATTTTTGAACTCTTCGGTACAAAACTTTTCAAATTATTAGAAACTTTTTTTTAGGACCCTTACTCTTTGATCTGCGTGTTCATTTCTGGTCACAATTTATCAACACTAAATCTAATTGATCAACTTTTGGGCCAAGAATTACACCACTATTGGATGAAATAGACAGTAAAACCATTCATAGGTTATATCGTAACGTCACGCATTTAGCCATAATTACATGTAAAAACAAATCTGAAATTAAAAACTTGAAAATAAGAAATGTGAGAAGAAAATGGAAAAGAGCCAATTCCGGCTACAAATAAATGCAATTTTTAACCAAAAAAAAAAACAAATTTCAAATCCACACTGTTAAGCATTGGGCAAAAGCATGGTTGAAATATTCTTATTTCCGCAGACTTTGTTGACCCTTCTTAATGAAGTATTTCTAAATCTGTACCAGTAAGTAAATATTTTTAAACTTAATACAAAATCAAATTTAATCTAACCTTTCTCCAGAGTGACATTGGCAGTGTATGGGAACTTGACTCCCGGTGTGTCCTGACAGGGAAATAGGGATGGGCAGAATCTAGACTGACACTGAGTGTACAAATACGGCTTCTCTTTCCCACTCGTTTCCTCCTTCTCCATCCACTGCAGAGCAGTTACGTCAGCTGTCGTCTCAGAGACTAAATACAGGCAATGTATAAGAATAAATGGCAGATTTAGAATCTTTTTCGTAATTTCATTTAAGAAGAGAAATTTTGAAACCTTTCCAGTATGCATGTATTACAGCTTATAATATAAGTGGGTCCTATCAACGTTACAAAGTAGCGAGGGACAGAAAGTGCTATCAGGATTCAATATAGTTTACGAAAAGATGAATTCAAATTATAACGCTTCCCGTCATTCAATGGCATTTGAAAAATATGAGTTGCCTATTGAAAAATCCTAAGAGCGATAGTTACTATATGATACATATACATCACCTATTTTCACAAGCAACTCTTGGTCCACTTTAAGAGGTCCGACTTTACTTAGATCGATGCACAGCGCTTGATACACACTCGTTTCAGTTTGAAGCTCGAAAGCAGCCTCAACATACTCGTCGGAAGATTCTGGCACTTTTATGTGGACGGTTTTGGTAATCAACTTTTCCGTGTCAAGGAGCAATTTGGGTTCAACTTGTTTCACAGTAAACTTGGTTTCAGTCGATATTTTCAAGACTTTAGAATCAAAACATACTTCAATGTCCAAATGGAGACTTCGAATATTAAACGCAGAGTAGTTTGAAAAGGTGTTCGGGTCAGGTTTGTCATCCATGGTTAAAATAATTTGAAGTTAAAATCTGAAACAAACAATGATGAGTTTTAGCCACATTCCAAATTATGACTCAGATTTAACAAAATGGTATTGAACATTTTTGTAGCGTAGACGTTTCAGGCTCATTAATTTTTGCAAAAAATATTATAAAGACTAGCCAAAAATTAATCTATTAATAAAGAAACTGATTTCTGAGATAACTAATAAAGCTAGAACTAACGTAACCTGACCGCGAAGTATTGATATTTAATCGGTGTTGAGAGAAGCACAAAACAATCCGTCACATGGACCTCGCTGTTACACTCCCAAGACTACGAAGGAGAAAAACAATAATAAAATTATCAGAAAAAAAATAATAAACATCGAAGATACTTAATAAATCACATGAAATTCAAAGCTAAACAGACAATTAAGTCTCAAATAAGATCCCTTTCAGCAAAGATTAGGATTGCATCAAATTACCTGGTCTGCATTTTGCAGCTTTTCCGACCAATTTATCGCAAGAGGACAATAATCCTTTCACGTATTATGAAATCACGCTATATATTAATTAAGTTAATTTAACAGTATTTTAGCTTTTATTGGCAAATTGGTAAGGACTTTGAGTCTGCTAGGGAAATTATACGACCAACTGACTTGCCTCAATTTAATTTGGAATGGTTATTTGAGCACTTCAATTAAGTCAAGTTTACGCGGTGAGCATCATCGTAGGTGGGAAAAACAGCGCAGAATGCAAGTAATTAAAGCTCAAAACTTTTCGAAAAATAATAATTAATATTCTAACGCAATAAGGTAGGTCCCTTTAAAACTTGCGATACATGAACAGTAAAAAACTGCGCTTGTAAAATCGGTTACGAAACAACAAAGAAATAACAAAACAATTGAAAGAACTACAACAAAAACTATCCAGCGTTTTATCGATCTTGCAAAAACAACAAGCGGAAGTTTGTAGGAAACAAAATACTAGGTAGGTACAGACGCCGACAGAACTTGAACAAAATTTCCGACTCTTCCTGACGCAAGTGGTTTTGTTAAACAAGTTTTTCACCCGAAAAAAGTCTGTATTCAAAGTTGATAACGCTCGCTTGAAGTTAGATCCGGCCATTCAGCTAATACTGTCTCTACCCTTTATCTGTTTTCTCTCACTTTTCTAAACGCGTATCATATTGCCTTCAGCGAAATAGTCCTGGACAACGCAAAATTTGAATGTTCTATACTTTCAGTTCTTTATTCGCATAATTTTTGCTCCTATAAATCAGAATTGGGAGAAATTATGACGAACGGGGTTTCAAAGCGAATTCAGGTTCCTTAGTTCAGCCTTTTCTTTTGTAGAGTGTAGTTTTATATGAAGGCCCTTTACACTGTTTATTTAGATATGCTAATCAAAAATAACTGTCTTCGAAAAATTTGGTGCTTTTTGCTCAGCAACAGAGCACGCTATTTATTTGTTTGGTAGTTCGTTTAGATATGATCAAATAACATCTAACGCTACGGAGATTCCCAGATTGCTGTTCAACCAGCGCACAATATTTTGACTAAAATCATAGTGACTTTTTACAGCTTTTCACTTAACACAAATTCCATTGATTCTTACTTATTGCTTCAGACTGTCGCAACTAAATAATTAAAATATGCACATAAAATTTTTAGGCAAAAATTATTAGCCATTTATTCCATTGATTCTTGCTTATTTCTTCAGACTGTCGCAACTAAATAATTAAAATATGCACATAAAACTTTTAGGCAAAAATTATTAGCCATTTATAGAGTTTTTTCAAAATTCACACCCTTGCATCACAACACGAAAAAAACCTTGGCAAATTAGTCGACAGAAATTGAACTACCAATATTTGCTCATGTTTCGCTATGCTTTGAAAAAACAACAACATGCCAAGACCAAACAACAACATGCGTTCAGTTTGAAAAAAAAACAACATGCCAAGACCATAAGGTATGAAGTACGAATCGGAAAAAACTTAGAGCGGCAACAAAGCCGACAAGTCCTCACTCGATTTTTTTTGCAAATCAAACTTATCGTTTAGAAGGCTTGGAAACAGAAGAAATTTGCGTTTCAGGGCCTGCAATGCACACATCTGTTCCCAGGACTTCCCCATGGAATAATTAAAAAACTGAACTCATGACAAACCAGAGCTGGTAAGTTTACAACCAACTAAAAAGTAAATTTTGAAAGGGCGTCTAAGACGCAAACATGCTCATAATTGATAGGGGATGACATTTTAAGGTAGACAGAACCTCATAAGACAGTGTCAATGAAAAACTTGTTTTCAAAAATTATTAGTTGTGCAAGTTTGTACAGATTTATGCTAAAAGACACTTAAATCAATTTAAACAACATTATGCTCAATGATGGAATGTAATTTATTTGCAACCGAAATTCAACAAACTTCTAATATTAGATTTTATTGTCAATAAAATGACTAAATTGTTCGGTTGAAGTCATTTTTTCGCCCCCAAAACGTACTTTATTAGCAAAGCTTGGTAAAAATTAATGCAACAATTCAGGCGGGTAAAATTATACAATACTCCAAGTAATGGAAGTACAAAAAAACGATCTGATTAATACAGCACCATTAAAATCATATAGCATTTAGCAAAAAAAATCCAATTACAAAATATGTTTATTTACTTGAAGTAATGATAACACGATGAATCAGTTCAGAAACCAAAATCCAGTTGAAGACAGTTGTTAATTCATATTTATTTTAGGCCTGCTCACTTTTCAACTTCAGGTCAATCGCGACCCAATCAGCTGAAATAGGGCTCATGTACTGTTTCATACTCAGGAAAGTGTCGATCGCCCTCTGCCGAGAACTCTCGTTTTCATAGAGCGACACGTACACAGGTCGGAGGAACTTCATTCGCCCGCATGTTTTCACCAGTTCCAGTGCCGGTTCGATGGAGGAATCGATCCCACTTTTGAGGCCCATTCTAAAACATAGGAGGTTACCAGAAAAGCATATTGTTGTGCTATTACAACAGAAAGTTCCGATCACAGATGCAATTTTAGAAATGATAAGTTTGAACCAAGCAAAATTTAGCGAAATATAGAGACATCGACTGCAACGGTTTGAACTTAATTGGCTCTTAAAAATACCAAATATCTCTTCATATAGCAACTCAAAAAATAAAGATTTCAAATTATTAAGAACTTCTATTATATGAAAAGAAACAATTTCCCAGTAATTTAGTTGAAACGGTCGCACCTGAAAGGTCTGCTTAAATTTCTGCTGTAAAAAGTTTATCAATTGCACATGATTTGTGCCGCAAAATTTTACCGAAAAAAAGTATCTGAGAAATTTCGTTGCAACTTCTCATTTTTGTTACATGTAAACTTCGTTATAACTAGTCTGCCGCACACCTACTTCGAGCATTACCTTTTCTTTCAATTTTAAAGCTGAACCACTTCAGATATATATGGTAATTTATACTAAGCTATCGACAGACACGACACGCCTTCACTTCGTTAGAGCAATTTTAATGTGCAAAAAAAAAGAGTTCACTTTCATCAAAAATTTTCCGGAAATCCTCGAAAAAAAAACATAACTTGATAACCGGTATAACTGAAGTGCAATAGCGATTTTATATTTAAACGAACTAGTTCTTCTCAAAACAAATATTCTCTTAGAACCACTAATCTAACTGGTGTTTCTTTAACAGGCGCATTAGAATACCTTATCCAAGGGGTCCGCAGTTCAATGTTATTCGTGTCTCTCAGTTCAAGTTGTCCAGTCAATTTTTCAAACTTGTCCTCCGGCCAAATCAATTCATGTTCTCTCAAAGTGCCCAAAATTGCAATTTTCAAGTCCTGACTCCACGTTTTCAGGTCCGGATATTCGGCAACGATTCTATCGTAATCTTCAGCAGTGGAGGCTTCTATCCATTTTTGAACAACTTTTTTGCATTTATTAGTCAACGGATTATCCAAATCAATTGATACAACACTTTTTCCAGGACTTGTAAAAATCTGGTCCCAGGGTTGTGCTTTTAAGATGTCAGCTTTAGCTGGAAAGTACTTTATAAGATGCTCCAGCCACGCTTTGGTCCTGATTGGTGTATCTTTGAAAGTCTCCACGTAGTTTTTGATATATGGCGCAAAAGCTTCGGGTCCGCCGACTAAACTTTCAACATAGGTTAGCAGCATGCATCCTTTTTCATAAGGCACTGTTGAGAAAGCATCTTCTGGGTCGCGATTGGTCAAATTTGGAACCAATGCTGTCAATTCTGGTTTCTGCAACCTTTCAAACTCTTCGAGACTATCGTTCAGGTGTTTTTGCTCCTTGTTCAACAGAAACTTGCGATATGTTTCATCTTTTTCCATCACCGCTTTTATTTTATCCTCAATGAATCTGGTCCAGCCTTCGTTCAGCCAGAAGTGCTCCCATGAGACGGTTGTTACCAGATTGCCAATCCACGAATGAGTAATTTCATGTGCCAAAACAGACACCCTAGATCTATCTCCTGTCAAGTAAAGTAGGCGACAAAAAGGTCATATTAGGATTCTCCATTCCTCCATAAGGAAAAGTCATAGGCAGCACCAGGAAATCATATCTCGTCCACTGATATGGCCCTTAAATACTTTCCGCAATTTGCAGGATACTCTCGACATCGGCAAATTCATAAGCACATCTATCAAGAATTCCTGGTTCAGTCCATACAGCGCATCGGTTCCTGCAAAACAAAAAGAATTTTCTAAAAATGGAAATCTCAAGCATATTCGCCTCTAAGAAGCTTCCATTGATCGAATTTAGTCCATTGATCGAATATTCATAGATAGATTACAGCCTAAGTTACTTTTAACACTTATTGCCGCGGTAAAGCATTGTCATCAGAGATACTTGAATCACGCCACCAAAAACCCTACCATAAGGCTTCTATTGCATGACAATACCCTTTTCCTAGTATCGAAATATGACCACTCACCCGAAATCATGCTTGACTAGATTTCCCACAGCTATGGCAAAGAGATATGCAGGAATGGGTTGCTTCGGGGGAGAACTTGTAGCACATTTTGTTTTCTCCAGTCGCAGTTCCTTCTCCGTCGATGATGGCCGACATCACCACTGCCAGCCCTGCAAATCAGCTTCGTGTTCAACTTTTTAAGAAGTTCCAAATGCAAGAAATCACTCACCAAAGAGCTTGGAAAATGGTTAAACAAAAAGTGAAAACATCGTAGCTTCAAATTTTTGAACTCTTCGGTACAAAACTTTTCAAATTATTAGAAACTTTTTTTAGGACCCTTACTCTTTGATCTGCGTGTTCATTTCTGGTCACAATTTATCAACACTAAATCTAATTGATCAACTTTTGGGCCAAGAATTACACCACTATTGGATGAAATAGACAGTAAAACCATTCATAGGTTATATCGTAACGTCACGCATTTAGCCATAATTACATGTAAAAACAAATCTGAAATTAAAAACTTGAAAATAAGAAATGTGAGAAGAAAATGGAAAAGAGCCAATTCCGGCTACAAATAAATGCAATTTTTAACCAAAAAAAAAAACAAATTTCAAATCCACACTGTTAAGCATTGGGCAAAAGCATGGTTGAAATATTCTTATTTCCGCAGACTTTGTTGACCCTTCTTAATGAAGTATTTCTAAATCTGTACCAGTAAGTAAATATTTTTAAACTTAATACAAAATCAAATTTAATCTAACCTTTCTCCAGAGTGACATTGGCAGTGTATGGGAACTTGACTCCCGGTGTGTCCTGACAGGGAAATAGGGATGGGCAGAATCTAGACTGACACTGAGTGTACAAATACGGCTTCTCTTTCCCACTCGTTTCCTCCTTCTCCATCCACTGCAGAGCAGTTACGTCAGCTGTCGTCTCAGAGACTAAATACAGGCAATGTATAAGAATAAATGGCAGATTTAGAATCTTTTTCGTAATTTCATTTAAGAAGAGAAATTTTGAAACCTTTCCAGTATGCATGTATTACAGCTTATAATATAAGTGGGTCCTATCAACGTTACAAAGTAGCGAGGGACAGAAAGTGCTATCAGGATTCAATATAGTTTACGAAAAGATGAATTCAAATTATAACGCTTCCCGTCATTCAATGGCATTTGAAAAATATGAGTTGCCTATTGAAAAATCCTAAGAGCGATAGTTACTATATGATACATATACATCACCTATTTTCACAAGCAACTCTTGGTCCACTTTAAGAGGTCCGACTTTACTTAGATCGATGCACAGCGCTTGATACACACTCGTTTCAGTTTGAAGCTCGAAAGCAGCCTCAACATACTCGTCGGAAGATTCTGGCACTTTTATGTGGACGGTTCTGGTAATCAACTTTTCCGTGTCAAGGAGCAATTTGGGTTCAACTTGTTTCACAGTAAACTTGGTTTCAGTCGATATTTTCAAGACTTTAGAATCAAAACATACTTCAGTGTCCAAATGGAGACTTCGAATATTAAACGCAGAGTAGTTTGAAAAGGTGTTCGGGTCAGGTTTGTCATCCATGGTTAAAATAATTTGAAGTTAAAATCTGAAACAAACAATGATGAGTTTTAGCCACATTCCAAATTATGACTCAGATTTAACAAAATGGTATTGAACATTTTTGTAGCGTAGACGTTTCAGGCTCATTAATTTTTGCAAAAAATATTATAAAGACTAGCCAAAAATTAATCTATTAATAAAGAAACTGATTTCTGAGATAACTAATAAAGCTAGAACTAACGTAACCTGACCGCGAAGTATTGATATTTAATCGGTGTTGAGAGAAGCACAAAACAATCCGTCACATGGACCTCGCTGTTACACTCCCAAGACTACGAAGGAGAAAAACAATAATAAAATTATCAGAAAAAAAATAATAAACATCGAAGATACTTAATAAATCACATGAAATTCAATGCTAAACAGACAATTAAGTCTCAAATAAGATCCCTTTCAGCAAAGATTAGGATTGCATCAAATTACCTGGTCTGCATTTTGCAGCTTTTCCGACCAATTTATCGCAAGAGGACAATAATCCTTTCACGTATTATGAAATCACGCTATATATTAATTAAGTTAATTTAACAGTATTTTAGCTTTTATTGGCAAATTCGTAAGGACTTTGAGTCTGCTAGGGAAATTATACGACCAACTGACTTGCCTCAATTTAATTTGGAATGGTTATTTGAGCACTTCAATTAAGTCAAGTTTACGCGGTGAGCATCATCGTAGGTGGGAAAAACAGCGCAGAATGCAAGTAATTAAAGCTCAAAACTTTTCGAAAAATAATAATTAATATTCTAACGCAATAAGGTAGGTCCCTTTAAAACTTGCGATACATGAACAGTAAAAAACTGCGCTTGTAAAATCGGTTACGAAACAACAAAGAAATAACAAAACAATTGAAAGAACTACAACAAAAACTATCCAGCGTTTTATCGATCTTGCAAAAACAACAAGCGGAAGTTTGTAGGAAACAAAATACTAGGTAGGTACAGACGCCGACAGAACTTGAACAAAATTTCCGACTCTTCCTGACGCAAGTGGTTTTGTTAAACAAGTTTTTCACCCGAAAAAAGTCTGTATTCAAAGTTGATAACGCTCGCTTGAAGTTAGATCCGGCCATTCAGCTAATACTGTCTCTACCCTTTATCTGTTTTCTCTCACTTTTCTAAACGCGTATCATATTGCCTTCAGCGAAATAGTCCTGGACAACGCAAAATTTGAATGTTCTATACTTTCAGTTCTTTATTCGCATAATTTTTGCTCCTATAAATCAGAATTGGGAGAAATTATGACGAACGGGGTTTCAAAGCGAATTCAGGTTCCTTAGTTCAGCCTTTTCTTTTGTAGAGTGTAGTTTTATATGAAGGCCCTTTGCACTGTTTATTTAGATATGCTAATCAAAAATAACTGTCTTCGAAAAATTTGGTGCTTTTTGCTCAGCAACAGAGCACGCTATTTATTTGTTTGGTAGTTCGTTTAGATATGATCAAATAACATCTAACGCTACGGAGATTCCCAGATTGCTGTTCAACCAGCGCACAATATTTTGACTAAAATCATAGTGACTTTTTACAGCTTTTCACTTAACACAAATTCCATTGATTCTTACTTATTGCTTCAGACTGTCGCAACTAAATAATTAAAATATGCACATAAAATTTTTAGGCAAAAATTATTAGCCATTTATTCCATTGATTCTTGCTTATTTCTTCAGACTGTCGCAACTAAATAATTAAAATATGCACATAAAACTTTTAGGCAAAAATTATTAGCCATTTATAGAGTTTTTTCAAAATTCACACCCTTGCATCACAACACGAAAAAAACCTTGGCAAATTAGTCGACAGAAATTGAACTACCAATATTTGCTCATGTTTCGCTATGCTTTGAAAAAACAACAACATGCCAAGACCAAACAACAACATGCGTTCAGTTTGAAAAAAAACAACATGCCAAGACCATAAGGTATGAAGTACGAATCGGAAAAAACTTAGAGCGGCAACAAAGCCGACAAGTCCTCACTCGATTTTTTTTGCAAATCAAACTTATCGTTTAGAAGGCTTGGAAACAGAAGAAATTTGCGTTTCAGGGCCTGCAATGCACACATCTGTTCCCAGGACTTCCCCATGGAATAATTAAAAAACTGAACTCATGACAAACCAGAGCTGGTAAGTTTACAACCAACTAAAAAGTAAATTTTGAAAGGGCGTCTAAGACGAAAACATGCTCATAATTGATAGGGGATGACATTTTAAGGTAGACAGAACCTCATAAGACAGTGTCAATGAAAAACTTGTTCTCAAAAATTATTAGTTGTGCAAGTTTGTACAGATTTATGCTAAAAGACACTTAAATCAATTTAAACAACATTATGCTCAATGATGGAATGTAATTTATTTGCAACCGAAATTCAACAAACTTCTAATATTAGATTTTATTGTCAATAAAATGACTAAATTGTTCGGTTGAAGTCATTTTTTCGCCCCCAAAACGTACTTTATTAGCAAAGCTTGGTAAAAATTAATGCAACAATTCAGGCGGGTAAAATTATACAATACTCCAAGTAATGGAAGTACAAAAAAACGATCTGATTAATACAGCACCATTAAAATCATATAGCATTTAGCAAAAAAAATCCAATTACAAAATATGTTTATTTACTTGAAGTAATGATAACACGATGAATCAGTTCAGAAACCAAAATCCAGTTGAAGACAGTTGTTAATTCATATTTATTTTAGGCCTGCTCACTTTTCAACTTCAGGTCAATCGCGACCCAATCAGCTGAAATAGGGCTCATGTACTGTTTCATACTCAGGAAAGTGTCGATCGCCCTCTGCCGAGAACTCTCGTTTTCATAGAGCGACACGTACACAGGTCGGAGGAACTTCATTCGCCCGCATGTTTTCACCAGTTCCAGTGCCGGTTCGATGGAGGAATCGATCCCACTTTTGAGGCCCATTCTAAAACATAGGAGGTTACCAGAAAAGCATATTGTTGTGCTATTACAACAGAAAGTTCCGATCACAGATGCAATTTTAGAAATGATAAGTTTGAACCAAGCAAAATTTAGCGAAATATAGAGACATCGACTGCAACGGTTTGAACTTAATTGGCTCTTAAAAATACCAAATATCTCTTCATATAGCAACTCAAAAAATAAAGATTTCAAATTATTAAGAACTTCTATTATATGAAAAGAAACAATTTCCCAGTAATTTAGTTGAAACGGTCGCACCTGAAAGGTCTGCTTAAATTTCTGCTGTAAAAAGTTTATCAATTGCACATGATTTGTGCCGCAAAATTTTACCGAAAAAAAGTATCTGAGAAATTTCGTTGCAACTTCTCATTTTTGTTACATGTAAACTTCGTTATAACTAGTCTGCCGCACACCTACTTCGAGCATTACCTTTTCTTTCAATTTTAAAGCTGAACCACTTCAGATATATATGGTAATTTATACTAAGCTATCGACAGACACGACACGCCTTCACTTCGTTAGAGCAATTTTAATGTGCAAAAAAAAAGAGTTCACTTTCATCAAAAATTTTCCGGAAATCCTCGAAAAAAAAACATAACTTGATAACCGGTATAACTGAAGTGCAATAGCGATTTTATATTTAAACGAACTAGTTCTTCTCAAAACAAATATTCTCTTAGAACCACTAATCTAACTGGTGTTTCTTTAACAGGCGCATTAGAATACCTTATCCAAGGGGTCCGCAGTTCAATGTTATTCGTGTCTCTCAGTTCAAATTGTCCAGTCAATTTTTCAAACTTGTCCTCCGGCCAAATCAATTCATGTTCTCTCAAAGTGCCCAAAATTGCAATTTTCAAGTCCTGACTCCACGTTTTCAGGTCCGGATATTCGGCAACGATTCTATCGTAATCTTCAGCAGTGGAGGCTTCTATCCATTTTTGAACAACTTTTTTGCATTTATTAGTCAACGGATTATCCAAATCAATTGATACAACACTTTTTCCAGGACTTGTAAAAATCTGGTCCCAGGGTTGTGCTTTTAAGATGTCAGCTTTAGCTGGAAAGTACTTTATAAGATGCTCCAGCCACGCTTTGGTCCTGATTGGTGTATCTTTGAAAGTCTCCACGTAGTTTTTGATATATGGCGCAAAAGCTTCGGGTCCGCCGACTAAACTTTCAACATAGGTTAGCAGCATGCATCCTTTTTCATAAGGCACTGTTGAGAAAGCATCTTCTGGGTCGCGATTGGTCAAATTTGGAACCAATGCTGTCAATTCTGGTTTCTGCAACCTTTCAAACTCTTCGAGACTATCGTTCAGGTGTTTTTGCTCCTTGTTCAACAGAAACTTGCGATATGTTTCATCTTTTTCCATTACCGCTTTTATTTTATCCTCAATGAATCTGGTCCAGCCTTCGTTCAGCCAGAAGTGCTCCCATGAGACGGTTGTTACCAGATTGCCAGTCCACGAATGAGTAATTTCATGTGCCAAAACAGACACCATAGATCTATCTCCTGTCAGTAAAGTAGGCGACAAAAAGGTCATATTAGGATTCTCCATTCCTCCATAAGGAAAAGTCATAGGCAGCACCAGGAAATCATATCTCGTCCACTGATATGGCCCTTAAATACTTTCCGCAATTTGCAGGATACTCTCGACATCGGCAAATTCATAAGCACATCTATCAAGAATTCCTGGTTCAGTCCATACAGCGCATCGGTTCCTGCAAAACAAAAGGAATTTTCTAAAACTGGAAATCTCAAGAATATTCGCCTCTAAGAAGCTTCTTAAATTTAGTCCATTGATCGAATATTCATAGATAGATTACAGCCTAAGTTACTTTTGACACTTATTGCCGCGTTAAAGCATTGTCATCAGAGATACTTGAATCGCGCCACCAAAAACCCTACCATACGGCTTCTATTTTATTAACAATTATCTATAGTGCATGACAATACCCTTTTCCTAGTATCGAAATATGACCACTCACCCGAATTCATGCTTGACTAGATTTCCCACAGCTATGGCAAAGAGATATGCAGGAATGGGTTGCTTCTGGGAGAACTTGTAGCACATTTTGTTTTCTCCAGTCGCAGTTCCTTCTCCGTCGATGATGGCTGACATCACCACTGCCAGCCCTGCAAATCAGCTTCGTGTTCAACTTTTTAAGAAGTTCCAAATGCAAGAAATCACCCACCAAAGAGCTTGGAAAATGGTTAAACAAAAAAGGAAAACAACTTAGCTTCAAATTTTTGAACTCTTCGGTACAAAACTTTTCAAATTATTAGAAACTTTATTTTAGGACCCTTACTCTTTGATCTGCGTGTTCATTTCTGGTCACAATTTATCAACTCTAAACCTAATTGATCAACTTTGGGGCCAAGAATTACACCACTATTGGATGAAAAAGACAGTAAAACCATTCCTAGGTTATATCGTAACGTCACGCATTTAGCCATAATTACATGTAAAAACAAATCTGAAAATAAGAAATGTGAGAAGAAAGTGGAAAAGAGCCAATTCCGGCTACAAATAAATGCAATTTTTAACCAAAAAAAAACAAATTTCAAATCCACACTGTTAAGCATTGGGCAAAAGCATGGTTGAAATGTTCTTATTTCCGCAGACTTTGTTGACCCTTCTTAATGAAGTATTTCTAAATTTGTACCAGTAAGTAATTATTTTTAAACTTAATACAAAATCAAATTTAATCTAACCTTTCTCCAGAGTGACATTGGCAGTGTATGGGAACTTGACTCCCGGTGTGTCCTGACAGGGAAATAGGGATCGGCAGAATCTAGACTGACACTGAGTGTACAAATACGGCTTCTCTTTCCCACTCGTTTCCTCCTTCTCCATCCACTGCAGAGCAGTTACGTCAGCTGTCGTCTCAGAGACTAAATACAGGCAATGTATAAGAATAAATGGCAGATTTAGAATCACTTTCGTAATTTCATTTAAGAAGAGAAATTTTGAAACCTTTCCAGTATGCATGTATTACAGCTTATAATATAAGTGGGCCCAATCAACGTTACAAAGTAGCGAGGGACAGAAAGTGCTATCAGGATTCAATATATTTTACGAAAAGGTGAATTCAAATTATAACGCTTACCGTCATTCAATGGCATTTGAAAAATATGAGTTGCCTTTTGAAAAATCCTAAGAGCGATAGTTACTATATGATACATATACATCACCTATTTTCACAAGCAACTCTTGGTCCACTTTAAGAGGTCCGACTTTACTTAGATCGATGCACAGCGCTTGACCCACACTCGTTTCAGTTTGAAGCTCGAAAGCAGCCTCAACATACTCGTCGGAAGATTCTGGCACTTTTATGTGGACGGTTCTGGTATTCAACTTTTCCGTGTCAAGGAGCAATTTGGGTTCAATTTGTTTCACAGTAAACTTGGTTTCAGTCGATATTTTCAAGATTTTAGAATCAAAACATACTTCAATGTCCAAATGGAGACTTCGAATATTAAAAGCAGAGTAGTTTGAAAAGGTGTTCGGGTCAGGTTTGTCATCCATGGTTAAAATAATTCGAAGTTAAAATCTGAAACAAACAATGATGAGTTTTAGCCACATTCCAAATTATGACTCAGATTTAACAAAATGGTATTGAAAATTTTTGTAGCGTAGACGTTTCAGGCTCATTAATTTTTGCAAAAAATATTATAAAGACTAGCCAAAAATTAATCTATTAATAAAGAAACTGATTTCTGAGATAACTAGTAAAGCTAGAACTAACGTAACCTGACCGCGAAGTATTGATACTTAATCGGTGTTGAGAGAAGCACAAAACAATCCGTCACATGGACCACGCTGTTACACTCCCAAGACTACGAAGGAAAATCTAGTCTGCAGTTGCAACACCCTTGCTAATCGCAAGGATAAAAATCTACTTTTGAAACCACGTTTGAGGACATCCACGTTTTTTTTCGCGCCACTTTCGGTTTCTTAATTGGATAGCACAATTGCCTTTTGGATTGCACAATTGCCTTTTTTGTGCCTTGGATAGCACAATTGCCTAGCACAAGTAACTTAAATTGAACTAACAACAAAAAAGTCAAACTGCGAAAAGTCACATTTGATCACGTAATCAAATTTTAGGACTTTCCTAAAAACGAAAAAAACTATAGCTCACATTTCTTTTCTAAGTTCTTTTTACTACATTCCTTTAAACTTTAACCATTAAAAAGTGGCCCGAAAGACAAATAAAGTCAAACAAGTCTAAGGAATCGAAAACCGGGCTAAGTAAAACAGCAATTAAAACTATAATTCTTCAATGAGCTGGCTGATTCCAAACTCTGAACTTGCCTAATCGATATTCAATATTTAAAATACACAGGATTATCATAAAACGTTCCAAACAGCGCATTTCCGTAAACACCGTTGTTGAAGTCTCGGTCCAAACAGCGCATTTTGACAGAAAGGCAAAGCTGAGCTTCGCACCACTTGCGATACAACACAATCATAAAATTTAATGTCGAAAAAAAATGAAAAATTTCGAAAAAAAAACTAGATGAACCAAAGTTTCGTATGTCTCGATTAAGGACACCTAGGTACGCTAAAGCTTCGTATGTCTCGATTAAGGCCACCTAGGCACGCTTTTACTGGTTTTTGCGGGACGAAATGCGTAATTTCAAAACTTGGATTTTGCCCATAACCTTAGTTGTTTTTCTACTAAAATAAGTTATGTTTTTTTACTAAAATAAGTGATAAGAGTGAAATTTTTGAGAATTTAAAAATTTCCTCAAAATTTAATCTTTCTCCTTTTAAAGAAATAAGGAGTAACCGCTTCTGCAAGAAAAAATCGCGCAACCGCTACTTTCGATCGAAACTTTAATCTCAGATATGATAGGTAGTTTTTAAGAAAAATAAAAGTTTCTAAAAAACGGTCAAATTTCAAAAAAAACTTTGCGAAATCCATAGCATTGCAGGTCGTGACAAATAAAAAAACCGATGCTTCCAAAAAATTCGGTTTCTCGATTGAACATTTAACCCAAGAATTGCACGGTAATTTTCGAGTTAAGTAGAAAAAAACTTCAAAAAACGGCCAGATTTATTATTTTCACTTGTTTGAAAGCCATAATTTTTTTTTGAAAGAAAATGGGCGTAGCAACTTATGAAGGCGAGCTTTCAACAAACTGTTGTGTCGAAAAAACCTATCATATCAGATTCATCAGCAGTTATTAAGAAAAGTCCAAAATACGGTCAAATTAGAAAAACTAGCGACCCGGTGAAGCACTTGTTGCATTAAAAAATTTTTAATTTAGGTTTCAATTCATATATAGATATGCAGAAAGAAACATAGTTAGTTGATTTTGGTGTCGAGGATCCCATCGGGTCCACGACACTATCGTCAATCAACAGAAAACGCTGGCCTCTTCTCCTTCTCTCCAGGACCTACGGAGAAGGAATACAGGTCTCCGAGAGTCCTGGAAGCCTCGGCTGAAACAAACATCAGCACAAAAGACTGCTCAAACAGAAAAAAAACGACAAACATAAATTTACTGTTAAAACTGAATAAAGCAAACCATACACAGCTATCAAACATAACACATGTATACCAGGGTAAATTTCATAAATTATGCTTCACGTAACTAAAAAGTGTTTCTGAAAAAGATTAATGAAAACAGCAGATTTTATTTAAAACAATATCCGACTGGCATTTTAAAAACAAAACACCCAAAATTTACGAAAAAAAATGAACAAGTATTAACCCAATTTGAAAAACAATTATCGGATTGTAAAAACTGTACAAAACTGTTATGTATTTGATGCCATGTGATTATTTTATGTCTTTCCTATCAGGCATTTTTTTTCTTATGAATTATCTATCTTTTTTATCTATCTTTTCTTCTTTGTTTTTCTATCTTTCTAATTTATCAATTTTTCTTTCTTTGTATCTCTCTTTTTTCTTTATTTTTTATCTCTATGTTTTTTCTTTCTGTTTTATCTATCTTTTCATCGTTTTTCTATCTATCTTTTAATTTATCTTCTTCTTCTATATGTTTCATCTAACACTTTATCTATCTGTTTTTCATCGTTCTTTTTTTCCTTTTTTTATCTCTCTTTTTCTTTCTTTATATTTTTATTTTTCTCTTCCTTTTCTAATCAACATCTTTTTCAATCTAATCTATCATTTTATCTTTACTTTATCTGTCTTTTGATCTATCTTTTCTTTCTTTTCATCTATCTTTCTATCTATTTTTTTAATCTTTCTATCTATTTTCTTTAAGTATCTTTTTCATCTATCTTTTATTTATCTAATTTATTTTAAATATATTTTTTATCTACCTCTTTCATCCAATCTATCTTTTCATCTTTCTTCACAATCTAAAACTTTTACCTCAATTTCTTCAATTTTTTTTTAAAACTAAACAAAATTTTTTTTAAAAGTTTTTTTCTTTCTTTTTATCAATCTTTTTTAAACCAATCTATCGTTCATTTTTTACTTATCTTTTCATCTATCGTTTTTATTGACCTTTTTTTCTTTCTTTTTATTTATCTTTTTTATGATCTATTTTATCTAACTTTTACATATATTTTTTTTCATCTTCCTTCTAGCTAACTTCTTTAGCTATATTTTTATCTATTTTATTTATCTATCATAATTATCTGTCTTTTTACTTA